AAATGGGTAACCCTGGAGGACTTTATGCTGAGTGAAATATCTCAGTCACAAGAGGACAAATGTTGCATAGGGCCACTGTTGTAAAACGGGACTGACATCAGGGTTGAGGGAAGACTGAGAAAGAGGGGATAAATAATGTATACTGCGTTGAAACATATAAGAAAGAGAACTGTTTAAAAGGGATATATGATTGTGTATTATTGTCATGACAGGAGTCCAGAATGAATGCTGCACGGTGGAGTGGACTTAGGGAGAGGGATTGTATACCAATGAAAGAATTTTTCCTTTACTTTTCAAAGAGAAGAGTGAATTGGGGGGAGGGGTGGGCAGGGGGAAAAGTGCAACAATGAATGAATGGAAACCCTAAGTCTCTGTAAACTTTAATTAATTTTTAAAATAATAAATTGAAAAAAGGGGGGGAAACCCTAACAAACACATGAAGACATGTTCACAATCCCTAGCTCTCAGCTAGATGCAAATTGAAACCACTATGAAGATATCATCTCAGCCCCATAACAATAACAAAAGTTCAACCGAGCAACAAATAACAAATGCTGATGAGGTTGTGGAGAAATTGGAACCCTTATTCACAGCTGATGGGAGTGTAAAATGACGCAACTACTATGGAAGGTGGTATAGTGCTTTCTCAAAAAGTTGGAAATAGAAATACCATTTAATCCATTACTAGGAATATACCCTATAGAAACCAGAGCTGCCACCCAAACAGATATATACACACCCATGTTTATTGCTGTATTATTCACAATAGCAAAGAGATGGAAGCAACCCAAGTGCTCTTCAATAAATGAATGGATAGAAAAATTATGGTATATTCACATAATGGAATAGATCACAGCACTGAAAAACAAGTAACTCATAAAATATATTACACAACATGAGTTTCCCTGGAGGACATTATGCTTAGTGATATATCTCAGTCACCAAAGGACAAATACTGGATAATAAGGGGTCGTGGTACTAGAGATATTGTAGCTGATGTTAGATGGATCTTGGCTGAAAGCAGGGAATACCAGAGGAATGTCTATCTGTGTTTCATTGACTATGCAAAGGCATTTGACTGTGTAGATCATAACAAACTGTGGCTGACTCTGAGAAGAATGGGAATCCCAGAACACGTGATTGTTCTAATGCGAAACTTATACTTGGACCAGGAGGCCGTCGTCAGAACAGAGCAAGGGAACACTGCATGGTTCAAAATTGGGAAGGGTGTAGGCCAGGGATGCATCGTATCTCCATACCTTTTCAACCTATATGCAGAACAGATTATCCGGGAGGCTGGGCTCTATGAGGAGAAATGTGGGGTCAAGATTGGTGGACGATTTATCAACAATCTGCGTTATGCGGATGACACAACCCTGCTTGCTCAAACTGAGGATGACCTGAAGCACCTGCTGCAAAGTGTCAAGGACTGCAGCCTACAATATGGATTGAGGCTGAATGTCAAGAAGACAAAGATTCTCACCACTGGACCAATTGGCAGCATCAGGATGAATGGTGAAGAGATTGAAATTGTACACAGCTTTAGTTTGCTTGGCTCCATAGTCAACAGTCTTGGCACCAGCAGCCAGGAAATTAAAAGGCGCATTGCCATGGGAAAGTCTGCTGTTAGGGACCTCTCCAAAGTGCTGAAGAGCAGTGGTGTCTCTCTGGAGACTAAGGTGCGTCTGATACAGGCTATGGTCTTCGCAATCACCTGTTATGCATCAGAGAGTTGGACAATGACCAAGGAGGATAGAAGGAGAATTGATGCCTTTGAGCTGTGGTGCTGGAGAAGAGTATTGAGAATACCATGGACTGCTAGGAAAACAAACAGATTTGTCCTGGAGAGGGTTAAACCGGGTGGCTCCTTGGAGGCAAGGATTCTGAGGCTCCGTCTAACTTACTTTGGACATGTTGTGAGGAGAGACCGGTCCTTAGAGAGGGACATCATGCTTGGGAGGGTGGAGGGACGGCGCAGGAGAGGAAGGCCCTCTATGAGGTGGATTGATTCAGTGACTGGGATAATTGGGATGGGAGTGTCAGAGACAGTGCGATTGGCACAGGACAGAGCGGAGTTTAGGGCTGTTGTACATAGGGTCGCTATGAGTCGCAGGCAACTCGACGGCACATAACAACAACAACAACAACATCATTGTTATAAAACAGGACCGACATGGGGGTTTGAGGGAAACTAAGAAAAGAGCAGATAAATAATGAACACTGCATTGGAACAGACGAAGGAAAGAAATATTTTAAAGGAATATATGCTTAAGTGTTATTTGTATGACAACAGTCCAGAATAAAAGGTGTATAGCAAAATGAACTGAGGTAGGGTTGGGGGGCAGAAGGGAGGAAATTATGAAACAATGTCTAAATATTTTTTTTAAAAAATGAAATGGGGTTAGGGAGAAAAATGTGCAACAATGAATAAATGAAAATCCAATTTTTCTGAAAAATTTCATTAAAATCACAATGAAAATTTAATTTTTTTAAAAGAAGAAAACAAAAGAGTAAACACAAGAATTTAGCACAGTGCCTCTGCTAAGGTACAACAGCAATAATAATCAGGTAAGGTGACAGAGGTCTCAATCTCTGAAAATCATTTATGACCTTTTATTTTTTTTTTCGTTTTTTTTTGGGGTGTTTCAAATTGTGATTTAGAAGAAAGATTAAAGAAAGGTTAAGTTTTCATTCATTCATTGTTGCACATTTTCTGCCCTCCATTTTCCTTCCTCCTCCCCTAGTCCATTTTGCAATGTATCTCTTGTGACAGATTGTTGTCATACATCTAATCATATATTCCTTTCAGACAGTTCCTTCCCTCATCTGTTCCAATGCAGTGTTCCTTGCTCCAACATCCCTGTTCTGAGTTGGAGGTCTATTTATTTACTTCCTTGTCGGGGAAAGGCAAGATGGTACCTAGGAATCAGTGAGATTCTCTGGGCAGCTGATCCTGCTCTTTGTACACCCCCTCCTCCCAGGCCTGGCTCAGATTTTAACCTATTTTAAAAAAATTTTTAAAAAAAGATGTGCTGAGTGGGGCAAATATTCATAGGGTTGTGCAGTGTGATGGTTGGGGGAGGGAAATTGAAAGAATCTGGTCTGAAAAGCAATGTATTCAAATTTTGTAAATCAACTAGTATAAAATAAAAAAT